TACTGCCTCAGAAACCCAAGAAGGGGTCGCTATGAGTTGGGCCTGACTTGACAGCACATAACAACAACAAACTTTTCTAAATGTTTTTTTAAATACTGCAGTTTTGGGGGTGTCTCATTTGTAAAGTCATCATTGCCTTTGTTATTAATGCTCAAGAAAGGCTTAAAGGTGCAGTCACAGGAGGAATATCTGTGACTTGAGGCTCAGAAAACTTTGAGAATCTTGAATGAGTTTAGAGAACTGCACCAGACAAGTAGATGAGGTATTCATTACCCTCAGAAATGTCTGAAGAAGACATCACCATACTCCAGAGTATATGTGAGTATGTATGGTACATGGGGCCTTGTCCATTCTTGTCTTAGAGCTGGACTACCAAAAGTGAAACAGGAGCTCGTTACCAGGTCCCAGCTGTTCCATAATTTGCACTGCAGGTGGTAAGAGATCTGGTAAAGGGTGAACTGTGCCTCCAGATAACATGGTTCTTTCCTATTCGAGATGGGGGCTTTGGGATCATTCTGACCAACCTAAAAACCCACAGCATAGTAAGGCAGTTTCTTTGAAACTGAGTATCTTAAAACTTTGAGCAAAGTAGACTGATCCCAGAGTAGCATCAGTCATCTCTCCCGCTAACTCAGTGGACTGGAAATGCTCCCTCAGTGGACTGGAAATGCTCCCCCTGCTGGGGCCAACCAGTGGCCTTCCTCTGGGAGGTAGGAATGGTTGTCCTGCCTGGCCTCTGCTTTCTCTGTCCTTGTTTCATCATATTTCAAGTGCTGTGTGTGGGGAGATTTCTAGTGTTATCATATATTTTAGGGGAGGGCTAAAATGTCAAATAAAGTCTTATTTCCAAAAGTATCTAGAAGCCTGGAACTAATACTTTTTTTTTTTTTTTTTTAAATGCTTAATGCTTTAAACCAAACTCACTGCCATCAAGTCAGATCTGACTCATAGCCCCCCCCCCCTTGGGTTTCTGTGGTGGTATCAGTACGGAAGTAGATAGCCCAACCTTCCTTCTGAGGAGTGGCTGGTGGGTTTGAACTGCTGGTGGGTTAGCCGTCAAGTGCTTTAGGCACTAGGTCTAAATTACATAAAAAATTTGTATATTTTTATCAAATCAAGGCATATCACATAGTATATACCAGCAAGCAGGCAAGAAAACGTTACCAAATAAACAGCCCAATGCTGCCTGGCACGACGTGGCTATACGCTACCTCGTGATTTCAGAGCTATTATATAACCAAACATGTGCTTCTTAAAATCAAGGAAGTTGAGCACCAAAGTGGCCTGCTTTTGCTGCTTTCCTCTGTAAGATCAGCCACCAGGGGGCGGATGTCTCTGGCTACTGCACAGCACTTTTCACGTTGACAAACATGCATAGCACCCTCCTGCCTCTGAACTCAGGAGAATAAAAACTGCACTGTGCTAAATTCAGAAATACTTGCACATCTACTAACCACCTGGAGAAAATCTGAATTTTTCCAAAAGAAAATCAGCACTTGAACAAGAGAAAATCACTTGATTGTTTTTGTTAGCCATTGTCTCCCTCTGTCTAGGAAACACACAGACCTGCTCACTTCCCTGGCCCTGAGTCTTCCAGGCCTCCCCTAGAAAAGAGAGCCAGTGAAGGGTCCCCCAGTGCATGTGTCAACACAGCACAGAAACATGCTGATACCAAAAGTAATGAGCTTAGTGACTGGACCCTATGAATGCTCTGATTTGTGGGTCAAAAGAGGCCAAATATCACCAATTTCTATTAAACTCTCTGAAGATTGCTTTCACTTTTATTATTCTATTCTGGAAAACAAGCTTTTTAAGGAGCTCTGATGGCATAGTGCTTAACGATTTGACTGCTAACCAGAAGGTTGATGGTTCAAACCCACCAGCTGCTCTGCAGAAGGAAGACAGGGCAATCTACTTCTGTTGTAAGAACAAGGTCCTTACCCCTAGTTGCAAAGAGTCAATGATCACAACATGAAGCGGGAAAGCAAAAGATTTATTGAGTAAACCCAAGAATACAAAGAGAATCACTTCTCTAAAATGTCTGTCTCCCAGAGCTAAGGGAAATAGGAAGATGGGAAGGGGGTTGAAGATCTCTTGGACTGCCAGGAATGTCTTTGTTCTTCTCTTCCCTGGTTACTCCTGACTTAGCGTCTCTCTTCTCAGGGTCTTCTTGCTTCATAGGCTACAGGTTCTCAGACAAAAGCAGTTGTGGGAGAGGGTCATGCTTAGAAGAATGCGTAATGGAAAATAACCTAAAGAACTCTGCATTGGTAGAGGTTGGCTATTCTATTTATTTAGAAGAAAGCAAAGGGGAGGGAAAAATAGCACTATGATTAATGTCTACTTTAATCATGCCCACTAGTCTGTTAAAGTTCTGCAGTTTTCAGTGAGGGGTCCCTTCAGGCTTCCACTTCAGCCTTCCACGCTTCGGTAAAGATTTACAGCCTCAGAAACCCAATGGAGATCTCTACAAGTAGGAATCAACTCGAGGGCAATGAGCTTTTTTTTAAAAAAATTTAAATGAGGAGTTCCTGGCTGATGCAAATGGATTGGACTCAACCGCACTGGTACATACAAAACAAAAAACAAACAAAACAAAACAAAAAAACTAAAACAAAAACCAAATTCACTGCCATTGAGTGGGACTCACAGCGACCATATGGGACAAAGTACAACTACTCTATAAGGTTCCAAAGCTGTACAATTTTCTGGATGCAGCAGACTGCCAGTTTTAGAGGCTGGTGGGTTCTTATCATCGACGTTTTGGTTGGCAACTGAGCGATTTTACACTGCGCCACCAGGACTCCTGCAGTGGTATATATGTGTTGTTGTTATGTGCCATCGAGTGGGACCCGACTCATAACGACCCCTCCCTGGGTTTCCGAGGCAGTATCACTAGGGAAGTAGATTGCCCAACCTTCCTTCCGAGGAGTGGCTGGTGAGTTTGAGCCGCCAGCCTTCTGGTTAGCAGTCAAGTGCCTTAGGCACTATGCTACCAGATGTCCTTGGTATATATGTATGTATACTTAAATAATTGTAAAAAATTCAAAATAATAATGTTATTGTTGTTGTTGTTATGTGCCGTCGAGTCGGCCCCGACTCATAGCGACCCCTCCTTGGGTTTCCGAGGCAGTATCACTACGGAAGTAGGATTGCCCAACCTTCCCTCCGAGGAGTGGCAATATAATAATAAGGGCTCTTATTCCATCTATGCACAGGGGCGAGTCTTTCTCATCTCCTTCCCCTCCCTCAACCAGGCAGGACCTAAGTGGGTTTCACAAACCTCACTCTGATTTCCATTAATGCATAGCTTCTACCGGTCTCAGCCAGGTCCTGCTGGGGTTGCCTTGTGACCAGGGACCAGAGGTGGCGGAAAGGGAATGTCCAAGCCAGAGAAGGACATTGAAAGGTAGACGGGATTCAGGATCTTTCTGGTCGGCCTCTAGATGGCGTCCTGGGAAAAGGGATTCCTGAGTCGCGTCCCCAAAAGTCCTCCTAGGTCTGCACCCCCGCGTGCTGTGCTGCCTTGGCCACCAGAGGTCTGCAACCCTCCAGGACAGTTGGGCTTGGGCCAAAGAGGAACCTGGGCTGCGTAGGCGGCGCAGCAGCCCTGAGCCAACCTTCTGTGCTATCAGGTCCCTTTCAACTCGCAAGGCTGCACAGCACGTGTGCATTGAACTCGTTGAGCTCAATTACCATTGCAAACATCCTGGCCAAGTGCAGAGGAGTTGGTCAGCTCATGGGGGAATGGGGGGGGAGAGAGTGGGAGTGGGCTGGCGGCAGTGCGGACTCGCTTGCAGGGAAGCCCCGCACCAAGATGAAGGAAGGCAGGCTGTTGACCCCGCGCCAGAGCAGCTCGGCGACCCCCACGAGCCGGCGGGGCCCTGCCCAGCCCCACAGGCAGCAGGTGGACAGTGTTGCTATGAAGAGAAAGCATAGATTGTCCCAACTCCAAGCCGCCACACGCCAGACCTCGGCTATTGTGTGACCTCCATAGAAATGCAAACGAGCCGCGTGTGCCGTCCTCAATCTGCTCGCTCCCCTCGGCGCCCCGCGGGGCCGAGCCGCCGGAGCAGAAATTTGCAGGGGCCTTCCAGCCGCAATCGTCTTCGGGGGATTAAATATACATTGCAGGGATCAATTTCTAACTCTGGTAGCCGCTAGAGTGAGCTGAAAAGGGCTTTGCTCTCTGCCTTTTGCAATTTAAGAGGCAGTGCTGCACGCTTTTACTTTGATTTCCAGTTTAAAGGCAACGGTCTCATAACTTTCACATTAAGAGGAAAGAAAAAATAGAAACGTTGCAATAAAAAAATGCAAATGTATTTTTTCATAGTCTAAAGATGCATCTAGGAGCTCTGGTAGCATAGTGCTTAAGGCACTTGACTGCTAACCAGAAGGCTGGCGGTTCAAACCCACCAGCCACTCCTCGGAAGGAAGGTTGGGCATTCCTACTTCCGTAGTGATACTGCCTCGGAAACCCAAGGAGGGGTCGCTATGAGTCGGGGCGACTCGATGGCAAAACAACAACAACAACAACAAAGATGCATCTAAGGTGCATTTCACAAATTGCAGAATCATATTAGCAAACAGGTTTTTTTTTTTAAAAAAAAAAAAAAAAAAACCTCTTTCCTTTTAAGGACTTAAAAAAAAAAAGGCGAGATGAAATCTGCAGGCTGCAGTCTGCCTGGTAACATCTTTTGACAAAAGCGGCAGATTTGAGGCATTGTAATCCCCCCCTCCCCACGTGGCCTTCTGGCACAAGCCTAGATAGCCCGCCGTCTCATTTGCATCAGAAAGCCCTCACCCGCCAATCGGCGAGTAGCTCAGCGCCAGCTGGAGGCGCCCGGACCTCAAGGCCTATATAAGAGCCCGTAGCCTCCGCCAAGACTGTAGTTACTGGAAGTGCAGACGCTTAGCTAGGTGGCTGACAGCTCCGCCTTTTCCTTGCTCGCAAGTCTTCTCGTACTTTGGTGGATAATTTGCTGCTCTGCAACCGAACCATGACTCTGGAGGAAGTTCGCGGCCAGGACACCGTCCCAGAAAGCACGGCCAGGTGAGTCCGCACCGGGGGCCGGGCGTTTTGAGAACAGTGAGCCTGGTGTAGCCTCGGCCAGCCAGCTTCAGCCTTCGAGATCCGAGGGACTTGGGACCCCTGTGAACTGGGAGTGGGTCTATCAGGCCGCCGGCTACCCCGGAGTGCGGTCGCCTTGGTCGGGGCATGCGGCACCCACAGCTCGATCTCTGCGCCGGGCTCACTGTGCTCCCTCGCCCGCAGGATGCAGAGCGCTGGGAAAGCACTGCATGAATTGCTGCTGTCCGCGCAGCGCCAGGGCTGCCTCACCGCGGGCGTCTACGAGTCCGCCAAGGTCCTGAACGTGTGAGTATAGATGCTGCCCGGACGGGCGGGGACGGCGGGTAGACTGTGGCGCTGTTGATCCTGACCTGGCCCTCTCCTTCCTCACAGGGACCCTGACAACGTGACCTTCTGCGTGCTGGCAGCCGACGAGGAGGACGAGGGCGACATCGCTCTGCAGATACACTTCACGCTCATCCAAGCGTTCTGCTGCGAGAACGACATCGATATCGTGCGAGTCGGCGACGTGCAGCGGCTAGCGGCCATTGTGGGCGCCGGCGACGAGGCGGGTGCGCCTGGCGACCTACACTGCATCCTTATCTCGGTGAGTGCCCGCCCTGGTCGTTGGCCCCGCGGGGATTATTCGCTGGCTGCAGCCAGGGTGACCCTGACCGTGCCCTCTCCCTGCAGAACCCCAATGAGGACGCGTGGAAAGATCCCGCTTTGGAGAAGCTCAGTCTGTTCTGCGAGGAGAGCCGCAGCGTCAACGACTGGGTACCCAGTATCCCCCTCCCGGAGTGACTGCCTGGCGCGGAGACCTTTGTTTGATCAACGTGGCGTGACGCACCGGGCGCCTAGGGCGTGGCTGGGTCTGAGGATTCAGTCCTGGTAGGGAGCCGGAAAGAGTCGTTGGACTGTCAGGCGGTGGCGCTTGGTGAGAGGCGAGCAGGAGCTGGCCGCGTCTAGGAGGTGAGCCTAGCGGCTGCGGCGGCGGAATCAGATTCGCCTGGAGCTGAGGAACTTTGCAAGTGTCAGGAACTACTGCTTCCCCGGAAGGTCAAGCCTGTGATGTTGGCGATAGGCAGCGGGGAAGGAGGACGGGCTGGGCCGGCGTGACTCAGCAGCCTGCGTCCGCAGGAACTAGGGGAAAGGCAGGCGAGGCGATTGTGGACTCTGTACAGTTACAGGATCTGTGACGAACTCGGCAGATTTGAGCCGCCTTTTCAAAATGGATCCGGGCAATGATTCAAGTTTTAAAGGATGCTGCTGTGGAAGCTTTGAATTTACAATAAACTTACTGAAACAAACTTTATTCTCTTTATTGAGGGCAAGGGAGTCTTTCCTGCTGGGGAGGGTGTCCACCAGGGTTTCAGATGATTACTGAAGCTTGGAACCCATGGCACCTGTTTTCCTGTTGGGCACATTACAGGCCTCCCGACGCTGGATATGGGGCTGGGTACGCTTGTGAAGAGTTTGGGTAGAGCTTGAAGCCCTGTTCCCCTTTGTTTAGTTTTAGGAAGATTTTTAAACTTGCAAGACAGGCACACTTGAGACAAGCTATTAGGGCAGCAGCTGAAGGCTTGTCCCTCCTTGTCTCTTGCCCTCCCCCACTGCCCTCTTTCCTGACAGCTGCTTATCTGAACAACCTACAGGACCAGCCAGGCTCTGGGTGCACAATGAGCGTGACTTCTGCAGGCACTGCTCCTTGTGGTCCCCAAAGGACAGTGGCAGACTGCTCAAGGGAAGTTCTTCCTCTTAAAAACCCTGATACAGAGAATTGGGCTTACAGTAATGTTACAAAGGTATTAATATCAAGCGTGACACTTAATGACTATATTTAAATATGAGTCATCCTTCTGTCATGACTGATAGAACAGTGGCATCACTGGGGTGCAGACTGCTCCAGGTGACATTGTGAAAGGGGGTGACAACAAAATGACAGTCTTGTATAAAATTTTTGTGCAGTGTTTCAGCAGATATTTATTATTTACTTTTCAATAAAAATACTCCTGCAGGTTTAGCAACAAAAACATTTTTTGTAAGCCCAACTTACAAGTATCAATATATCTATAAGGCTAAAACTCTACGTTAAATTTACTTTTTGAACCTTCTGCTGTGTTCCAGTCAAAGCTGTCATTATTACCCAGTTAAAATGATGCTTCGACTCTGTGTTTTTGTCTGAAGTGCTACAAGCTGGTGCTGTTATTTTTGTTGCTGCTGATGTTTTTATAGTCTCTGATTTTGTCAATTTTCTCATGTTTTAGCTACAGTATTATGATAATTAGTATCTGTGAACCTATATCAATACCTTTTTTGAGAATGAAGTAGTAATTTAAAGAAAAGGAGAAAAATAAAAAAAAAAAAAAGCATCTGCTGTGTTACTAATAGTGTAACTAATGTCATTCAACGTAGAAAGATTTTACAAAACAATTTTGTTGTCAGCATTCATACAATCTAAAAAATATCACATTTAAGCAATTTACAGATATATCATATATTATTCTATGATTAAAATTGATAATAAACATTACTAAGGATTCTGTAAGGTCTGGTATGGAAGGAGGTCTAAAGGGGAGGGAGATGACACCATGAGTTACCACGCTGGGTGACACCCATCCTACTTATGCCACTGTGCTAGGACTTAAAATATGTGAGCAAAAATTGCATAGGAGCACTGACCTAAATAGATGTGAGCAATTCCCAGTGGGGCTAGCATTTCTTACCTACTATTCTGGGTTTTCTCTTTCCACATCAGACCTGTGCCAACTCCTGTTTTTACAATATTATTTAAAGACTAACTGAAGAAACGTTAACATTTTTTAAGTAAAGACTTTCTTTAAGCAGGATCTAGGGATTTGAGCGGTATCAATATGTATTTTTTATTAGATCACTGTGGTGGTTATGTTTTTGTGTCAACTTGGCTAGGCCTGGTTGAGTGGTTGGGCAGCTGGATGTAGTATTCCCCATGATGAGACTGGTAACCAACTCCATGGTGGAATCTACTGGGAGCAGCTGAGTAGCTGCCTTTGGATATGTGGTCTGCTTCCTGTATGTAAGGAGAAGCTTTGCGAAAGGTCTCTAGCCTTTGGCATGCTTGGACCTGGAATGTAGCTGTGTTGTTGCTTAGCAGCCTGCTATGCTCTGCTGACCTTGGGACTTCCAGTGGACTTAACTTAATGGCCTGCTGTGTGGATTGGTAACATCGGGACTGTGCTCTTTTACTTGTCAACCTTGGGGCTTCTCAGCCTCAGCAGCCAATAGCTGTCTGAGTGAAGAAATGCCTTTAGCTCTGGTGGGCCGGGAGCAGGAGGCAGAGCTGAACCCCAAGGTTGAGGGTCTTTCACCCAACCCCTAGAGCCTGGCACCTTGAACTTGGACTTAAAGCCTCCAAATTGTAAGAATAAATTCCTGTTTGTTAAGGCCATCCTATTTGTGGTGTTTTCTTGCCAGAGCGGCACTAGGTAATCAGAACAATCACTATGTCTTGATGACTTCATTCCATTTGCCTGACACTGCAGTCATTTTTACCAGAGGAAGCACATATTGGATGTGCATACTGTTGGCTAGGTTGCCACACTGTGACACTGTCTACCTAGTATTCTGGGAAAGGAGTGTTGATGTGCTGTTTTCCCAAGAAGTAAATTCTGCTGACTTATCAGCAGTCCTGAGGTGATGGATAGGTCTTGCTGGGTGCTGCTTTTTTAAGTTCTCTCTAAACTGTGAAAACATTAGCAGTGAAATGGGACCAGACCTGCTGGATTGCTCTGCCTGTAAAGAAGGCATCTTGTCCCACATTTACCAGATCTTGAACATACTCCTCTTGATTAGATTAGCGGTCCAATGAAGTAATTCAGCTGTTTATGGGCCCAAGTTTCATTAATGTTTTACCTATTTCCTAGTAGGTAAAACTACTTGAGTTTTTCTTTGTAGAGGGAAAGTCTGGTGGGGGTGGGTTTATGCATAATGGCTATTAGGTCATAATACACCATAGTGAGCACAAATGGTCATAATTAGGATAACATATATCTCCAAATGAGTAAGTTTAGCAAAACACAGACCCTCTTGCTGGCTGAGTAGACCTTGTAAAACATTAAGTTGGCAGCCTTGAAGAAACTTGATTCTGATTAGTATTTGCTGCAAGGCCTACTGTCTGAGCCCTAGGGCCTAGGAGAATTTGCAGGAAAAAATGCATGCTTGGATACAGGGTCAGCCCAAAAGATTGTGCTTAATTTTTTTTTTTTTTTTTAATGTCTGGATATTTTAACAGAAATCCTTTAATGTTATTGAAATATCCCAGAGGGCAGATAATAAAATGAACATACAGTGCTCTTAAACACATTGTTGCATTTGATACTTCCAATCACCCTATGTGATGTTAATGTATGCCCTCCAGTGGATACTGACTCACTGGATCCTATTGTGATAATGCATGCTAATTATAAAGGCATGTTGAGGTAATCTAGTACAGGCATTTTAATACAATGCCCTGTACTTAGAAAGTGCTGAATAAATGTTAGTGATAATACTTAAAAGCTAATCTTCATCCATTGCTGGCAGAATTACAAAATGGTAACAGCTGTTGTGGAAAGTTTGAAGGTACCTTAAAAAGTTAAACATGGAATACCATAGGAACCAGTATCCTAGCTGTATACCAAAAAGACTTGAAAGCAGGGACTCAAACTGATACTTGTATACCAATGTTTACTGTAGTTCTATTCACAATAGCCAAAAGGTAGAAAAAATCTAGAGATCCATCAACAGATAAATGTACATATATATATATGGAGATACATGGGAGCTCCGGTGGCGTAGCGCCCAAGGCACTTGACTGCTAACCAGAAGGCTGGTGGTTCAAACCCACCGGCCACTTCTAGGAAGAGATTGGACAATCTACCTCCGTAGTGATAGTGTCTTGGAAACCCAAGGACGGGTTGTTATGAGTTGGATCCAACACCATGGCAGTGAGTTTGTTATTTTTAATGTGTGTGTGTGTGTGTGTATACACACACACACACACACATATATACATGTATAGTCATAGTCATGCATTGCTTAATGCCACAATACATTCTGTGAAATAGGACATTATATGGTTTGGACTTTGTGGGAACATGCCTAAATCTCAAGTAATAACATTCACTAATTTTCCACTTGCATGTTGTTTAATAACCTTTTGCTTCACTTGCAAATTGATTCTCTTTTTTTTTTGCCTCTGCTGCTATCACTAGCACTGGTTTTGCTATCTTTGGGAGCCATGATGCACTTCACAGTCATATTTTCAAATGGAAATTAAACAGGGAGATAGTGATACAATACTCAAGAGGTGTGATACATGAGATTGGATGCTGCTACCTACAAGTTGAAGCACACACTTATACGGTAAACTTTTTATTTGTAAATTGAGGAAGTTCACATTCAAATAACAATAGAATGTATAGCACATAATAAGCCAGTAATATAGGTGTTTATTATGACTATCAAGACATATGTATTATAGATTATATATGTGTTCTTGTTGTCTTTAAGTGCAGTCCAGTTGGTTCTGACTCATAGTGACCCTGTGTACAACAGAATGAAACACTGCCTGATCCTGTGCCATCCTGACAGTTGTTGCTGTGCTTGTGCCCATTGTTGCATTGACTGTATCAGACCATCTCATTGAAGGTCTTCCTTTTTTCTACTGACCTTCTATTTAACCAAGCATGATATCCTTTTCCGGGGACTAGTCCCTCCTGATAACATGACCAAAATATGAGAGATGAACTTTTGCCATCCTTGCTTCTAAGGAGCATTCTGGCTGTATTTCTCCAAGACAAATTTGTTTGTTCTTCTGGCAGTAGATTCAATATTCTTTGACAGCA